AAGATAACAGACATGACTTCTATTTACAGGTCATTTTTTTTTTCTGGTCACCCCATCTTTCAATACATAGGTTGTTTATTTTTTTTAAGTTGATAATCATCACTTATAAGTATTAGGTACTTAAAATCCTACAAGATTAAATCATGATTTCCTAGACTTCTCTTTAAATCCATGTAAAATTATTCGGAACATCTTTATTTAATCCCCCATGAAGCTGTCCTACCCAACTGCACATCAGCCTCACACAACAAAGACAAACAGATGAAAATCCAGGACAATAACTATACACCATAGCATGCTAACACACCTGCCTCAACTAGATAGAAAGTGGACAGTCTATGAGAAAATATTATAGATCAGTTCTGAAATAAAGTTTAGCATGTGGCCTGATTGATAAAGTTAATATTCCAACAAGTATCATTTCCTTTTAAATCATGTCAGTTACTTCACACCAGGATTTCTGCATCTCAGCACTATTGACATTTTGGACCCCAAAGAATTATGTTGGGTCTGTCCTGTGTGCTTACTGTAGGATGGTTAGTAGCATCCCTGTCCTCTACCTACTACATGTCAGTAGAATCCCTGTCCCCAGTTATGACATCAAAAAAAATGACTCCTGACACTGCCAAATGTTCCCCAGGGGCAAAAATGTACCCAGTTGAGAACCACTGCTCTACACTAAAGAAAATCCAAGAGTTAACATGGACAAAAACCTAAAATTTGATTTTATTTGAAGTGATTTTACAAAGAGACATAAAATGCATGAGTTAGTTGTACTAAGCAAGTCAGATCTTGTAAATGGAGTCAATACTACTAGGATGATGTGATCATCCATTCTGACAGAAGAGGGGATTCAAGGGCATTGTTTCAACAACATAAATGCTACTGGCACATGCCACACCATCACCTCTTCAATCAGGAGAGTTTTTAAGCCCATTAAAAAAAACCAGGGCCCTTTAAAACTCTAACATAACTGCCAGGATGGAAATCAGTGACTGTTCATGATGAACTGCTTATAAATTATAGTCTCTATCCTTAGGTGGAAGATCAGATTAATATAAGATGAAAACAACAAATCTGAGTAGGAAGTAACCATGAAAGAATATAAAAGTTAAGGCAAACAGCCTAAAAATTCTGTGCACAGACAACTTGACAGATCGTAGTTCCTTTCTCATTCCTCCCTCTTTATCTCAGCAAAGGTATCCTTTTCTTGAGAATTTTCAGAGAGCAGATAGTTTTCCATACCCATAAAAAAAAATCAATTTAGAAAATAAAATCGAAATGAACACTGCCCATTTAAAGGTTTGCATTAATCTTAAGCAAAAGACAAATTTCTTATGCTACTTCAAAGCAAGATTTAATGTTCTCTTTATATTTATAACATATATCAACCAAAAAACAGACTTGAAGTTTTAAACAGCAAGTCCACCTATAGTACAGATGTTGAATCAGCACCAAGAAAACTATGACTTTTAAGGTTAGCTGGCCCTCTGAAAATACAATATCCAAAGTTGTGTCTATCAAAAATAAAATCTATAAATTTTCCAAAGAAATATTTTACTTGAAAGTTTAAAAATATCTTTTTTGCACATGAGAAATAATGTTTAAGTTTTATAAGTCATAAACAGTGACAAAAATGATACTTGTAACATTTTATAGGCACATGCCAAAATTTCAAGATTTAACTCAGAATGTTTTTATTTCTATAATTTTATTGAAGTCGGTCTTTGTTTTCTTTCTCAGTGCTTGAGTTTCTGCTTCTAAACAGACATGAGAAAGAAGTGCTAAAAATCAGAACAGCAAACACTGGATTTCTGATGACCACTATAATTGTGTTTCCTTTTGAATTAGTTTTTTAAAAAATTCTGCCTCCATGTTTCTTTTCTTTCCACAAAATTAAAAACATACTAGAGTATTTTTCTTGCATTTTCCACTTAACATTTTTCCATGTCTTTAAATAATCCCCCAAACATAATTTTCAATGACCACTATTATGAATTCTATGGTAATATTATATCATTAAACTGTTTTCTACTTCAGGGATTTTAAAATGTTTCCAATCTTTTGCTCTTACTGCTGGGATAGAAATTTTTATGCATAATCATGTTTGCATCTCAGGTTATTTAGGATAAATTCCTATAAGTTAATTTACTAGTTCAAATAATAAGAACATTTGTATAGTTGTACAAAACAAATTTCTTTCCGTAAAGATGAAATTTACACTTTCATCATTCTTTGAGAATGCCTATTCACTTCATATTAAAAAATAACGGACATTTTGTTTTTCAAAAACATGTCAACTTTAAATATTAAAAATAATATTTAATAGTTTTAACTCATATTTATTTAGTGAGAATGAACTTTTTTAATACTTTGTATTCATAATTCTACATTTTCAAATTGTCTGTTTGGTCTTTTATCCATCTTGCCATTGCATGTTAAGTTTTTTTTCATATTAACTATTATAACTCAATATAAAAGAATATAACCCTTGCTTATGACATCTAGATAGGTTGTGAAGAGCACAACGTTTCCCTTTGTGCTCTTCACACTATTTTTATGCTTAGAAAATCCTTTCCCATTTCAACATAACTATTGACATCTTTTCTTTTAGTTCTTTAGTTTCATTTTGACATCTATATTTTAAAAACACCTGGAATTTATTTTTGGTATGGTATGAAGATGTGATTTAATATCTGGTAGCATGAGAGCCCATTAATCATTGTTTCCAAAATTTTCATATTTTTCCCGATTAACTTTCAAATCACTTTGTCGGGTATACCTTTCCCCAGCCCCTCAAAAACTATTTAGACCTATTGAGATTGCAATTAAACTATGAATAAAAATCAGGAACAATGTATAGAAGAATACTGAATACTGATGCTATCAGGCATCATTATCTTGGACCTGGCTGTCAAAAATACTTCCAGTATCTCATTTGTTTACCAATACATTAGACTTTTTGTTTCAGATAGGGATTTTTTTTTTTTAGTCTATTAGAGAATTCACCTTCCATTTTCATTACTAAATCTCTAAATATAGATTTTGTATTTTGTCAAAATGCCTTTCGACATCTTTTTGGGATTACGTATGCTATTATGTTTTACCTTTTATCAATAGATCCCAGGTATTAACAATATTTCTATAATTTGTCATAAATCTTACTCATCATAGTGTATTATTCTTTACTACGTTGATGATTTGGGGTTGCCTGTGCTTTAGTTAACATTTTTACAAATAAACATTTCTTGTCTGGAAACTTTTTGAAGATCATTTTTTTGGCTAATTACTAAAATGTCAGTGATGACTATTTCAATTTAATGTTCAACTTCTTTATTTCACTTACATTTTCCCTGAAGAAATTTGAGACG